GGGTGGGGGGCTCCCCACACACCTGGCCGGAGGTGGGTATCGCATCGAGCTGTGTACCCCCTCGGCGGCCACTGGAGGGCGCTGGTGAGCGAGAGCTGGACAGGGAATCCCACTTCCCCCTTAGAATGAGAGGGGCTGTGCGGGGGTGGGTTCCTGCCCCCAGCCCTTCCCCATGCCCTGGCGTGTGCTGCCCATGCGCCAGGCAGGCAGAGCCTAGTGCTGCTGTCTCTGCCTCGGGGAGAAGCTGGGGCTCCGGGGGGGGGCAGGGGGGGGGGGGCTGCTGCTGTCTGTTCCATCGCTACTGCCCTCTCTTCTCTCCTCGCTGCGGGAGAAGGAGACCCAGGCGCTGGCCATGGTGAGTACCAGGCGGGGCTGGCGCTCGGCTGGGTGCCAGGGCTGGGGGAGGCAGGTGCCCTGGGCAGAGCTGGGCCCTTGTCCCCGGAGCGGCACCAGGCCGAGCACCCCCACCAGCTCCTGCCCCGTGGACCCCGGGTGGCTCGGCCAGGGCGGAGCTCAGTGCCCAGCCGGGTCCCCAGGGAGCAGCCCCCGGCTGAGCTGGGCTCTCCGGCAGGAGGACGACGACGTCTCCCAGTGCTCGGTCGAGTTCGACATCGGCCTCCCGGACAGCAGCGTCATGAGCAAGAACGAGGTGATCCGCAGCAAGGTGTCACGGCTGACCGAGCGCCTGCGCAAGCGCTACCCCAGCAACAACTTCGGTAGGGGGGCGGGGGGCCTGGGCTGCTGAATGTGTGTGTGGGGGGGGGGGGGGGGGGGGGGGCTGCCGAACGCCCGGGGGGGGGGCGTGGGGGGGCTGGGCTGCTGTGCTGAATGCCGGTATGGGGGCGGGGCTGGGCTGCTGAACGCCAGCGTGTGGCGGGGCACCCCCTCCCCTGCCTGTGTCCGTCAGGTGCCATGCTCTGGGTGGCTGGGCTGTCGCTGCCCGGGGGAGCTGGGGACGGGCACCGGCTGGGTTGTGCTGTCTGGGTGCCGGGCTGGTCCGGCCCTGAGCCATGCTGTGGGCAGTGGGGGGCTCCCCCATGGGTAATGGGAGCTCCCAGCCCGGGCTGCCAGGGCGATGCTTGGTGCCCTCTGCACGGCCCTGCTGGCTGGAGCTCTGGCCTCCGCAGCCAGGCTGGAGCCCTCGGGAGATCCCCTGAGCCAGGGCTCCCGCTGAGCTGGACCTGGGGCTCCGAGCTGGGTCCCCGCTCTCCCGGGCGGCAGCGACGGGCACGTGGCCGTGGGAGCTCAGGGCGCGAGCGGCTGCCACTCACAGAGCCGGGGCAATCCCAGGAGCGCCAGGCAGCCCCCGGGGGGGCTGTGCAGGCAGCAGAGAAGCTGGTCTCTGTGCTGAGGCTGCCTGGCTTCATGTGCCAGGCAGGGGCGCCTTGGGCGGGGGCATCGCCACGGTCCCTGGGGCACAAGGACTGGAGCCAGGCTGAGCTCCCATGTCCCTGTCTGCTGCCTACTGCAGGCAGTGCCCAGCCTGACCCCTCGCTCCGTCTCCTCTAGGGAGCTGCACCGGCTGCGCAGCCACCTTCTCCGTGCTCAAGAAGAGGGTGAGTCCTGCCTGCTTCCACCCGCTCCCGTCTTACCAGCTCTGCTGTGGGCCGGTAGCAGCGGGGCTCTGAGCCCTGGCCTGGCTGCTCAGCTGGGGGTAGTGGGGCTGGCTGGGGCCCCACGTTTCCCTGTGCCATGGTCCGTGTCCCCTGGCTGCTGCGTGGTGCCTCCTGGCCACCCTGGGCTGTTCCTGCCTGGGTCGGCTCCCTGAACCTGCCAGCACCAGCGCTGCTCTCTGGACAGTCAGCGCCAGGCCCCCGCCACCCCCCGAGTGTCCTGCTGCAGCGCCCAGCCGCTGTTCCCCGCCTGCCTGCCCCTTGCCTGACCCCGCATGGTCTCGGCTGAGGCAGCGTGAGAACAAGCCACGTTTCGTGTCAGAGGGGAGATCCCAGCCATACCCTGGCGCCGAAATCATCCCACGCGCTCCAGAGCCCGCACTTGGCTAGCGAGCCGTTCCCCTCGGCCACCTGGCTGAGAGCCCCTCTCTGGCTGCTTGTCCCCACACACCCGGGGTTCAGCTGCACCCCAGACAGCGAGAAGGGACTGGTCTTGGGGCAGGTCTCCGCTGGTGAATTAGCCGGCCCCAGCTGCCTGGCCCGGGCTGTGAAATTCACCTCCCTGCTGACCTAGGCCCTGGGGTAGACAGCGTCTGGCTGCCGCTTGGGGCAGTGGGTTAACCTCCATGCTGGACTGCGTGTCTACGCTGCAGCGCCAGCTCTGCCCCCTTTCTAGTGCAGACGTCGCCTCAGTCCTCGCTGGGATGCCCCCCCCCGGGTCTCCCCTGCAGCCTGCCCCGCGCTGCGCCAGACCATAGTGCGCTTGCCGAGGGGAGCGTCTCCCCGCCTGCTGCGTCTCTGCCCTAGGGCCAGCGGTTAGCGTGCAGGCAGCTCGGCCCTGCGGCACCTTCGTTGGCACTCGAGGTGGGTGCCAGAGCCAGGCGATCTCCGTAGCCCTTCTGCCCTCTGCCGGGTGCCATCAGCAGGTCCTTGGGGCACAGCCCCCCCATTGGACAATCTCCAGCAAGCCCTGCCCCGCCCCCGCCCGGCAATCCCCTGCCTCCCCCCGGGGCCGGGCCCTGCTGCCGCACACTCTGACCTGCGCGTCTCTCCCCAGCGGAGCTGCAGTAACTGCGGAAACAGCTTCTGCTCCCGCTGCTGCTCCTACAAAGTCCCCAAGTCCTCCATGGGAGCCACAGGTGAGTGGGTGCAGGTGGGGTGGCCTGTCTCGCTCCTGGCTATGCCAGCCCTGGCCTCGCCCAGCAGGGGGCGCTGTGGGGGGCAGGGCAGTGGCTGTGCGGGGGCTCCCGGCTACGCCAGCCGCGGTGGGGTGGCAGCAGGGTTACCAACTTCCTAACTGCACAAAGCCAAGCAACCTGGCCCCGCCCCTGCCCTGCCCCTTCCATGTGGCCCCGCCTCACTCCAGGCCCCCTCCCTCCATCACTCGCTCTCCCCCACCCTCACTCACTTTCACTGGGCTGGCTCAGGGGGTTGGGGTGCAGGAGGGGGTGAGGGCTCCGGCTGGGGCAGGGGGTTGAGGTGCAGCATGGGCTGCCCCCGTGCCTAGGGGTCAGACATGCCGGCCACTTCCGGGAGCTGTGCGGAGCTGGGGCCGGCAGGAAGCCTGCCTTAGCCCTGCTGCGCCACTGACCAGACTTTTAGCGGTGATGGTGATGGGGGGCAGGGTTCCTGGGGGGGGTTGGATGGTGATGGGGTGGGTCTCTGGGGGAGGGGTGATGGGGGGGTGTCCCAGAGGGGCACTGATGGGGGGGGTGGTGGTTGGGGGGCAGGTTTCTGGGGGGGATGATGGGTGGGGGGGGAGGCAATGGGGTGGATCTCTGACAGCTCCTTTCCTACCAGCCCCGGATGCCCAGAGGGAGACAGTGTTCGTCTGCGCGTCGTGTAACCAGGCTCTCGTCAAGTGAGCGGAGACCCCGCCGGGGGCGTCTCTGGCTGCCCGTCCCGGCCGCTCGGGGCAGGAGAGCACCAGGATCCTGCGTCGCTGAGACCCCCGCCTGCCCTGGCGCTGCCCGGCCCATGGCACTGGGTGGCTGTGGGGGCCCCACTGCTCTGTTCCCTGGAGCTTTGCTGCAGGGGGCTGGTGGGGAGATGTTAACCCCTTGCTGCCTGGAGCGGGGCTGCAGGGGCCTGAGGCCGGCCACCCCTCCTCTCCGCTCTGGGGCTGGGAGGTGTGGCAGTGCCCCAGGAACCTCGGCAGGTCTGTCACTGGTTTGCAAAGCCACATGGGTAACCATATGCACATTGCCCTGTGCTAGCTAAGTGCCCCCCAGCCTGCCCCTGGGCTCTGAGCAGACCCCTCCTCGACCCCCAGGGCTGGGCCTCCTCCCTGCCTGCAGGCAGAGGGGAGCAGGCAGGGGCCCTGGAGCCAGGCTGGGCTCAGCTGGGCATGGCAGAGTGCAGTGGGGTGCTCTAGACCCTTTGCTGGGGGAGCAGAGGGCCTGGCATGGGGCGGCTCTCAGCTCAGACGCTGGGCTGCTGGCTCTGCCCGTCGTAGGGGGTGCTGGTTCCACTCCCCTGACCTGGGGCTACAGTCCCCCCCCCCCCGCCCTGCCCCACAGAATCTGGGCAAAGGATTCACCCCCACAGCCCTGGGGGTCTCCTCTCTCAGCAAGGGGGGTTGGGCGCCTCTGCTGCCCTGGTTGGGGTCTGGAAACACGGCAGGGCCAGGCTTCGCACCCCGCATTCTGCGCTAACCCCTCTGTATGCGGGAGTTACTGGGGGTGTAGCGTCGCTGGAGCGGACTCCTGTGTCCCCCTGGCAGGGATCTCGGGGGCCCTGCAGTCCCCCTGGGCTGCATGTACACTGCTGGAGAGAGCCGGGGCCTGCTCTTCTGCACGGTGTGGTCCTGGAGCCCTTGGGCTGCTGGCAGCAGGCTACAGCCTGGCCTCAGGGCCTTGGGGGGGTGGGCCTGGCTCTAACCATCAGCCCCTTGCAGTCTCACGTTAACCAGGGTTAAAGCAGGTGTGGGGGCTGCTCCATGGAGACCTCCGCCTGCTTCGTCCTGTGGCAAACACGCGCCTGCCCAGGCTGGCAGCCCCTGGGCCCTTCCCCTTTGTGCCCAACTCCCGTGTGCCAGGCGCAGCTGGAGCGAGATGAGACCTGTCGGGGGGGGCTAGGCTGGGGTGGCTGCTGCTCCGGTCCCCGCCCGGGGGGGGGCATGCCCGGGGGGGTCCCCCTCTCTGCCCTGAGCTGTGCAGGAAGGCGCTCAGGGGCAGGGGGACCATGGCTGGGGCCCAGGAGACCGGGGGGGGGGGGGGGGGCTGCCGGCCACCGCCCCCCTTCGCTTCCGCCCCCCCTTTTCCCCCCCCCCCCCCCCCCCCGTCCGTAAGGATAGTCGCCCCCCCCTCCCCCCGCTTTGTCCACCCAGGGTCTGACTCCCCAGTGTGGGTTTATTAACGGCTGGCCCCACGTCTGGTTTTAGCACCGCGGTACCAGGGCGAGTCCGGGGGGGGGGTGAACGCGACTCCTCTGCTTCGCCTGCGCCGGCTGGTGAAGGACGTGCTCCCCTTGCCCTGGCTGAGCCGGCACCAGTGAGAACCCCCTGGGCACGTCCCTGCTCTGTGCCGCCGGCCCCCCCGTCCAGCGGGGCTGCTGCTGCTGAGGACGGTGCTGGTAGAACCAGGGAGCCGAGTTTTCTGTGATAAACTCCCCCCAATAAACATGATTGTGCATTTCTCTGCCGTTACACTGACCCGCGGAGTGTCCCCGTGGGCGCCCTGCCCCGCGTGCGACGGGGCTGGGGCCGGCCGGTTCGGACACGGGGGGTGCTGCAGTGTGTGGTTCTCACAAAGGGTGAAAACTCCACATTCTCTGCACCCCCGTCTGTGTTTTCCGGCCCCCGGGGATTGCTCGGACCCCTGGTTCCTCGTCGAGGGAAGCTGGGGGGCTGGGCCGGCGTCTCCTCGAGTGGCGCTAGAGCCTGCTGTGCGTCGGCCTGGAAGCGACCAGCCCCGGGTGCCGGCTGGGCGGCTCTTCCCCTAGCACCCAGGGCGAGGGCTGGCTCCCGGGGTGCTGTGATGGGGAGGGGGCTTTGCAAGCTCTGCAGGAGAGGAGCCCCCCCTCCTGCCAGCCTGAATCCTGCGGTCTCTGCCCCCCCCCTCCAGCAGCACCAGGCCTCCCCCCAAATTATTCTGGCTCTCCCCCACGGCTCCCTTGCAGCCCTGGCTCCACACATGAGCCCCACCCTGAGCTGGGTGTGTGGGGGGGGGGGCAACGCTCCTCGGTCACACACTGAGGTATGGCCCTGGGCTTCCCCACCTCCTGGGACCGACCCTCGAGCCCAGAGCTCTCAGCCCAGAAGAGCTTCTCCCTCTGCCGCCAGCAGCACGGTGCGTTCGGCCAGGGGAGTTCTAGGGGGATCGGAAGGAGGCCAAGGCAGGGGCTTCGTGGGGAGCGCTGCCCTGGGGGGGGCCTGGGAGGAAGGAGGAAGATGAGTGTTGGCAATGCCATACCTGGGCCATGGAGGCGGCTTGGGGTGAGCGGGAGGCGACTTTCCAGCAGTGGGGGAGAGCGGGGGGGAGGCCGTGGGTGCAGACAGGCTGACGGGTGCTGATGGGCTACACGAGGGGCCAGCACAGAGCCGGGTGACGTGGTCAAAGTGCCGGGCTAGGAGAAAGACCGGGCGTGGGGCCAGGCTGCATTCGTGGAGAGTCACTGCGTGGGGCTGATATCCCAGGAGAGCAGGGGGTGGGCTGCGTGGGTCGGATGGACGAGGCTATGGAGCTGGGTGAGGGCTGTGTCACGGACTCACAGATCGTGCCCACTCTTGGCCCCGTGCGGTCCGTGGGGGGTGCCCCTTCCAGTGCGACAGCCCTTCTTGGGGGTCCACTCTCCTTTGGGGTCAGGTCCCTCCACCTCCTGGAGTCGCACCTCTCTGAGCCTTAGCACGTCTGTCTCTGCCGTGGGCCCCCT